GCCTTGATTAAAAATGATCAAAGGGCCCGACCGAAACGTTTTCTAATTAATATGTCCTATGTTTACATACGGTCTTTCTAAAACAACCTCCCATATACTATACCCGCCACCCATATCTTGTGAAAATGTCTTATCATGTCTAAAGTGGCCATTTTTCCCTTCTTGATTGTCAGGGTTTTTTCCCTTTAGTCTCTCCCAAAAACTCTTGACTTCCAGCTTGGGCTAGTTCGTTTACTTCTTTGCGCCCTTCCCCGAGCTCTGAGATTGTATTTGCTAGCCACCTTGCTTTCTTCCATATTCTTTTTTCTTTTGGTAACCCACCAGGGTTTTTAGGGGTTGTTGGGGGTTTGTGTTTGTTGTGTGGTGTTTGATGTTTGTGTTGGGTGGGTTTGGTGGAAATTAAAGAAGAGGCAAACCCGAAAAAAAAAAAGGGAAAAAAGAAAGGGAAGGAAAAGGGAAAGGAGGGAGGGGAGAGGGGGAAAAATGGGGTTTTTCAAAACGGGAAATAGGAGGGAATTTTTTAAAAAAACCAAGGGGGAAGAGTGGGGAGGGGGGAAAGAAGAGAAATTGATGTTACAAAACCTTTTCACCTAAAGGGGTAAAAATTTATTTCCGCTTTTGGGGGTCCCTCAAGGGGGGGGTTTACGGGGGAATTTAAACCCCGGGATTTGTTCTATTCTTCCATTTTTGGGGTTGTTTCTCCGGAAAGCCCCTTTAGAAGGGAAAAAAGAAAGGAGGGGGATTTTTTTACTAAAACAATAAAAAAGGGGAAAAAAAAAAGAAAGAAAAAGAAAAAAGAAACAATTTTTTTAAAAAAACCCCCTTTTCCCCCTCTTGAAAAATTCCTCCTCTCTTCAATTTTAGTGCTTATTTTCCTCCCTCCTCTCCCCCTTTCTTCTCTCTCTCCTCTCCTCTTTTATTTAAAACCCTCCCTTTCCCCCCCCTTTTAGTGTGTGTTGTGGTGTGTGTGTGTGTGTGTGTGTGTGTGTGTGTGTGTGTGTGCATAATCCTAAACGAAGAGAAAACTATCCCAGAAAAACAAAATATGTAAAGAGAGAGAGAAAGAGAGAGAGGAGGGAGGAGAGAGATGTGAGAGGAGAGAGAGGAGAGAGAGGAGAGGATGGAGAGAGAGAAGAGAGAGAAGATCGAGAGAAAAGAGAGAGAGATGTTACATCATTCTGGCTCACGCTAAGCGTTATTGCCAGCTCGGGAAGTAACCCAGTGGTGATTATTGGCAGCTGGGGAGAATAACAGCCAAGAGTACTATGTGCAAGTTATTCACATGATGGTGGATGTACTCCGCACTGTCCAGAGTGGGACTCATAAAGATATTTACTTTTCTTTCTCTCTTCCTTTTAGGTTATGTGTGGTGTGAATCGATGAAGCTGTAATAGAGGAGGAGATATGGAGGGGGAGGAGAGAACGAGAAGAGAAGTAGTATGTGAAGAGCTTAGATCTCAAGAGTATGGATGGTGGATGTACTAGAGACACTTTTTTTAGAAGCGACTCACATAACATGATAATTTACCTTTTCTACTACTAGCTTATCCTTTGAATGTAGTGTGTGTGTATTGAACTTCTTCCTAGCTTCTCTATCAAGTACGATGTCTCTCTTCTCATCTTCTCTCTTAAAGGATACACTTTCTTCGCCCCTTTTCATGCTTCTCACTAATTAGTGAAATTATGAACGAGCCATCAAAAATGTTGCCAAAGGTAGATCTGATTTTAACTTTCTCTCTCGCCTTCCTCTATCGTTATTTAGTACTTATAATTTGACGCATTACCCTACTTGCTCTACGCACGTTAGTATCTGCATACCTTAATAACGTTATTTTAATTAGTAATCGACGCATTACTAACGTTGTTCTGTACGTTCAGAAGCTGACATTACCTTAGATAACGTTGTTTTAAACTAAGTTAGTAACCTTGACCATTACCGTTGTATAAGTATTTTAGTAAACTTACGCATTACTGAATTAACCTTATACGTTACGTTAGTAATTTAGTAACTACGTGTTCCTAGATACGTTAGTAATTGTACGATTAGAAATTTTGAACGTTATCTTAGTTGTTGTAATCTGAATTACCCTAACGTTTTCAGTAACTTAGTAACTTGAAACTTTTTAGTAACGTTATTAGTAATTCTACGTAATTGACGCATTACCAGTTGTTCTAGTAACGTTAGTTACGACACGTTTAACTTAGAAACTGAATTGATAATGGATAATTTCTTATCTTTCCAAAGGTATATTATCATATAAGTATCTACAGATAAAGAAGATAGGGAGAGTGACAGCGATAATGACAGACTTAATGATGGTGATATTTGTGACCAGCAGAGGCAGAAGACAACAAGGAGGGGTTGATATTATGCAGGAGCCATTAACTATGGCAGGACCCATTACTATGGCAGAGCCATTAACTATGAAGCATTAGTTTATGGCAGGAACATTAATATTTTTGTACAGCAACTTGAGCACTTCAACTATGGCAGTAACTAAAACTAGGCGGGAGCTACAACTCATGCAGGAATACAGACTTGAGTATACAAACTATGCAGAACTAAACTATGGCAGTAATTACAACTAGGCAGCAACTACTAACTATGTCTAGTAACTAAACTATGGCAGGAACTTACAAACTTATGGCAGAACTACAAATATGGCAGAACTACAGACTATGCAGTAACTTACAAATCTGGCAGGAACTTACAAACTTATGCAGTAACTACAAACTATGCAGTAACTACTAACAGGCATTACTACAACTTGGCAGGAAATACAAACTATGGCGGGAACTACAACTATGGCAGGAACTAACAATTTATGTGAGAATAAAACTATGGCAGAACTACAAACTATTGAGGCAACTACAACTATAGCAGGCACTAAACTATGACAGGCACTACAAACTATGGCGCATTACAACTATGGCAGTAACTACAAACTATGCAGTAACTACAATATGGCAGGATATACAAACTATGGCAGTAACTACAAACTATGGCACGGCATACAAACTATAGTAGGCACACTAAACTATGAAGGCACTAAGCTATGGCAAGCCTACAAATTTATGCAAAATAAAACTATGGCAGTAACACAAACTAGGGGCAGGAACTACAAACTAGGCAGGAACTAAACTAGCAGTAACTAAAACTAGGGCAGGCACTACAAACTTTGCATGGCACTCAAACTATGACAGCACTACAAACTATGGCAGTAATACAAACTATGGCAGGAACTACAAATATGGCAGTAACACAAACTATGGCAGGCACTAAACTATAGTAGCACTAAACTATGACAGGCACATTAAGCTATGGCAAGCACTACAAACTATGGCAGAACTACAAACTATGGCAGTAACTACAAACTATGGCAGGAACTACAAACTATGGCAGGAACTACAAACTATAGCAGTAACTACAAACTATGGCAGGCACTACAAACTATAGCAGGCACTACAAACTATGACAGGCACTACAAACTATGGCAGTAACTACAAACTATGGCAGGAACTACAAACTATGGCAGGAACTACAAACTATGGCAGGAACTACAGACTATGGCAGTAACTACAAACTATGGCAGGAACTACAAACTATGGCAGTAACTACAAACTATGGCAGTAACTACTAACTATGGCAGTAACTACAAACTATGACAGGAACTACAAACTATGGCAGGAACTACAAACTATGGCAGGAACTACAAACTATGGCAGGAACTACAAACTATAGCAGGAACTACAAACTATGGTAGTAACTATAAACTATGACAGGAATTACAAACTATGGCAGTAACTACAAACTATGGCAGGAACTACAAACTATGGCAGGCACTACAAACCATGACAGGCACTACAAACTATGGCAGTAACTACAAACTATGGCAGGCACTACAAACCATGACAGGCACTGCAAACTATGGCAGTAACTACAAACTATGGCAGGCACTACAAACTATGACAGGCACTACAAACTATGGCAGGCACTACAAACTATGGCAGTAACTACAAACTATGGCAGGCACGGCAAACTATGACAGGCACTACAAACTATGGCAGGCACTACAAACTATGGCAGTAACTACAAACTATGGCAGGCACTACAGACTATGGCAGGAACTACAAACTATGGCACGAACTACAAACTATGGCAGGCACGTCAAACTATAGCAGGCACTACAAACTATGGCAGTAACTACAAACTATGGCAAGCACTACAAACTATGGCAGGCACTACAAACTATGGCAGGAGCTACAAACTATAGCAGGCACTACAAACTATGACAGGCACTACAAACTATGGCAGGCACTACAAACTATGGCAGTAACTACAAACTATGGCAGAAACTACAAACTATGGCAGGAACTACAAACTATGGCAGTAACTACAAACTATGGCAGGCACTACAAACTATAGCAGGCACTACAAACTATGACAGGCACTACAAACTATGGCAGAACTACAAACTCTGGCAGTAACTACGAACTATGGCAGTAACTACAAACTATGGCAGTAACTACAAACTATGGCAGTAACTACAAACTATGGCAGGAACTACAAACTATGGCAGGAACTACAAACTAAGGCAGGAACCGGTTACCAAGTTCTCTTCTCTCTTCACTACTAACCAGGTTCTCTCCCTATCTATCTCATTATCTATTTAACTATTTTCCCCATTAGGTGTACAATGAGCCAGTATAATTATAAAACATTGTTCGTGGTCTTGTTCAACCTGGTTCATATATTGATCACTTAATATATGATAGTGTAAACATGTTAACAGGATTTTATATTCAGTTAAAAAAAGATATGATTCACTATAGAGCGATTTTCGCTTTACAGCATTAGCCCGGAACCTAACCTGCTGTATAAGCGGGGCCTCCCTTAATCACCTGTTACCAGGTTCATCTCCCACCTTGTACAGCATCGGTTGTATAAGGTATAATGCAAGTGTGCAGTTCACTGAACAGGTGTCTCTCTTCCCCCACAGATGGAAGGGTTGTACGTGGAGGTGCTGTACACGGTGTTCCACAAGATTGGAGCACAACATCACTCGGAGAAGAAAGATCTCTCGGAGGACCTGCATCGGTATGCTCAGGCGGCCTTCCATATAGAACCGCATGACCATGCCAGGCTACAGGCTGTCGCTCAGGAGGAGAAGGTAGGTCGCAGCAGTCTAGTAGGTTCATGGGAACAAAGAGGGTGGGTTTTTGGGAACAAAGAGGGTGGGTTCATGGAAACAAAGAGGGTGGGTTCATGAGAAGGAGGGTGGGTTCACTGAAATAAGGAGGATGGGTTCATGGGTACAAGGAGGGTAGGTTCATGGGTACAAGGGAGGTGGGTTCATGGGTACAAGGGAAGTGGGTTCATGGGTACAAGGAAGGTGGGTTCATTGGCACAAGGAAGGTGGGTTCATGGGTACAAGGAAGGTGGGTTCATGGGTACAAGGGAGGTGGGTTCATGGGTACAAGAGAGGTGGGTTCATGGGTACAAGGAAGGTGGGTTCATTAACACAAGGAAGGTGGGTTTATGGGTACAAGGAGTGTGGGTTCATGGGTTCAAGGAAGGTGGGTTCATGGGTTCAAGGAAGGTGGGTTCATGGGTACAAGAGAGGTGGGTTCATGGGTACAAGAGAGGTGGGTTCATGGGTACAAAGAAGGTGGGTTCATGGATACAAGGAGGGTGGATGGCAGAGAGAGAGAGAGAGAGAGAGAGAGAGAGAGAGAGAGAGAGAGAGAGAGAGAGAGAGAGAGAGAGAGAGAGAGAGAGAGAGAGAGAGAGAGAGAGAGAGAGAGAGAGAGAGAGAGAGAGAGAGAGAGAGAGAGAGATTATTATCTCCAGTTTATCCATCTCATAAAACTGAAACCAGACAGAAGTTTCGGTATGTGGTGAAACATTCACATGGTGCTAGCACTATGGCGTAGGTACCTCAGCATGGTGTGCCTAGTGCCCATGACAGTGTCATAGTCAATGGTACTATGGTGCGCTCATGGCAGCAACAATCACCGGCTTGCTAGTGTTCAAATCAGTGATCTGAGATGGGAAAGAGATAAAGTTACAGGGGATCAGGACTGAAGAAAGGAAAACAGGGAGAGACAGAGATAAAAATACACAGAAGGATGAAAGGATGGAGGGAGGTAGTAAAGCTGGTTTGTTACGTAGGAGGAAGAGGAGGAGAGACCGGAAAGACAACGTAGGAATATAGAATTTCCTCCATTGCATTTTTCTGGGAATATCTCAGTCCTTTAGTCACCTTCTCTTGATGTCGATCTTTTGGATTCCCAGTCATTTGTGTTTTTAGCTCCCATCAGTGACCAGATGTTCTAAAAAGGATCTATTTCTTCAGAGGTTTTGCATATTAAATTTTCTTGATGTTCGATTCGCTGGGGGAGAAAACAAGCTTCAGCCTCGCCGCTGAATAATTTCTATCTATTCTCATTTGTTCCTCTATATCCTACCTTAGAAAACTCTACATCACTGAGTCAGTTGATTTTCCAGAACTCTTTGGACCTGGTCTAAATAATCTGTTTGTCTACAGATTACATCAACTGACAGCATTAATTTAACTTCAGGTCTGTTTTCTGCCACTGCAATTTTTTTCTATGATTTTTAGTGTTACTTTGTGTCTAAATATTCTAATTTGGATTTTTCCTTGTGATATTAAGTTGTATATGACAGCCACAAAGTTCTTGAGACCTGCTGTCGTAAGCCATCCTGCTGTTTAATCCCGAGACGTCATAACACTGTGGGACTGTCAGTTATTCCTCTCCATCAATGTTCTCGTTAAGACTGAATATCTAACTCTCTTCCTTTGTCTACCTTATTCTCATGTAGTCATTGTTCGGGTCCCTTTTTTTTTTTTTTTTTTAATCTGTGATCCTGTTAGTAATTACGCATTTTTTTTTTTATGTGAAGTGGTATGGGACTCATATACAGGGGACGCTTTGACCATCGGTGTTCCAAAGCAGAAATAATTCCTTCCTCTGAATTCTTCATCCCTTCCAAACCCATCTACCCTCCACCCACCTCCACCCTCTCCCCTCCCCCTCCCCCTCCCCCCTCCCCCAAACCCCACCCCCCCTCCCTCCGCCTCCACACAACACGAAAGAAAATCTTATTAAAGATTTCGCATTAAATGAAATGAACGTCATTGTTTTCTGTATTTTCCTTTAATTCAAAGGATTTTTTTTTTTTTTTGTATTGAGGCTGTTTTTGGTTTGTATGCATCGCTCTCATACCTGTGCAGGTCTTGATATTTCTGTGTGATGTAGCTGTTACGTGATTAACCCGGAGGTTCGACTGAGAATAATTAGCCAGTGTGTGTGTGTGCTGATTAATTTACATTCGCTATTCTGGTTGATGGTTTTGTGATCAGATATCGCTTTAATTATACTCTTTGTTGCTATGTTGCTACTGTTCTTTCTCGTGTAGACTCGAAATATATCTTCGCAACGTGTCTTCGTGCTGTAAAGATCTGAGCATATTATACGCCTTCGTTTTAGCAAATCTCTAGTGGATAAAAGCAAAATTTTTGGTTTATTATAGCGAGATGTTATCCTACAGCACGTCCTGCACTGGAAATAGAGGCAAGAGTGTCTCACAGGATTCACGCTTTACAAGCAAATTTTTCGGCCATGGAATGTTAGTCTTGAGTTCAGCTGTAGATACGAGGATAGTGACTGTGTTGCTATTTGCTGTTAAGATAAGATAAGATAAGATTTCGTTCGGATTTTTAACCCCGGAGGGTCAGCCACCCAGGATAACCCATGAAAGTCAGTGCGTCATCGATGACTGTCTAACTTATTTCCATTGGGGTAAGGACCCACACCAATCGACTAACACCCAGGTACCTATTTGCTGCTAGGTGAACAGGACAACAGGTGTAAGGAAACGTGTCGAAATGTTTCCACCCGCCGGAAATCGAACCCGGGCCCTCCGTGTGTGAAGCGGGAGCTTTAGCCACCAGGCCACCGGGCCTCAATCGTTACTTTTATCTTATCAAAGGATGGTGCTCTATTAGCATGGGTTAGCACAGGTTAGCATAGGCACAACTGGTGCCCATGCTAACCTTCCTATGGTGTATAAATATACCTACTTGGATGATTCTGATTGTAGCCAGCTGGCCCAGTGGGTAACGCGTCAATCTGGAATTTTACGATTATCTACACGTGTTTGCTACTGCACCTCTCTGGTCCACCTGACGGTCCATTACCTCGGTGACACATGGACTCCATCTGTCTCACCTTCATTCTAATAAGCAAATAAGCCCATTTATCCTGAGTTTATCCCATTTCATTTATCACAACCTGCGTCGCACGCAACAGATGACGCACTAAACATATGGCACACACAACAGGTGACGCACTAAACAGATGAGGCACACAATAGATGACGCATGCAACAGATGACGCAAGCAACAACTGACACACAACAGAGAGCTCTGCCCACAGCATATGACTACTTGCTCATTCGTTTTCACAGCCAATGAGAGGCTTCAAGATGGAAATGTTGAGTCAACAGCTCCACTAGACGCTTGAAAACAAAAGCTTTACGAGTTGGCTAAGCCAGCAGCTTCACAAGACAGCTGAGCCAGCAACAGCTTCACAAGACAGCTGAGCCAGCAACAGCTTCACAAGACAGCTGAGCCAGCAACAGCTTCACAAGACAGCTGAGCCAGCAACAGCTTCACAAGACAGCTGAGCCAGCAACAGCTTCACAAGACAGCTGAGCCAGCAACAGCTTCGCAAGACAACTGAGCCAGCAACAGCTTCACAAGACAGCTGAGCCAGCAACAGCTTCACAAGACAACCGAGCCACCAACAGCTTCACAAGACAGCTGAGCCAGCAACAGCTTCACAAGACAGCTAAGCCAGCAACAGCTTCACAAGACAGCTGAGCCAGCAACAGCTTCACAAGACAGCTAAGCCAGCAACAGCTTCACAAGACAGCTGAGCCAGCAGCAACAGCCTCATGCCCCACAGTCATCAATCGTTGCAGCAAGGGCACTGAAGACCTCACCAAAATATACTTTTTGTGAGTTTTGGACGAACGAATTGTTTCTTTTGTGACCAGATGTGACACTTGTTTCTGTTGTTGTTGTTGTTGTTGGTGGTGGTGGTGGTGGTGTTATTGTTGTTCCTGCTGCTGCTGTTGTTGTTGCTGCTGCTGCTGCTGCAGCTGTTGCTATTGGTACTACTGCTGCTGCTGCTGCTGCTGCCCAGCTTTTGTTGTTGCTACTCCTGGTACGATTATTGTTTCTGGTTTTGTCATTCTCCATTTATTTTGCTTTTATTTTTCCCAGTCTTTCAAAGGCATTATTTCCCTGGTGTGGAGGTGACTTTTATATATATATATATTTTTTGCTCGGGATACAGACTCGGTACAGTTCTTTTCCTGAGAGAATTGGCCACATAAATAAATTTCTCCCTCTGTCTTACCTTCCTGTGACGAGGGATGAGGGATTCAAGGGAAGATGTCGCCGCCTTCCACAGCCCAACCTGAGGTCGGGCATCCACCTCATGGCCTGGTCAACCAGGTTCTTGGTGCTAGCGACCAACAGTAACACTTTTCAGACATGTCTTCGTCTCACTCGCCATATATATATATATATATATATATATATATATATATATATATATATATATATATATATATATATATATATATATATATATATATATATATATATATATATATATATATATTTAAAGACAAAATACATTGACAAAACATTCACAAAAATATGATACAAAGTAAAACAACATAGGTAACTCAGAGCTACATCTCGAATACTTCGTCCAGCTCCCCTGCGGTGGGCCGCGTGCCCAGAATGCTGCAGGCATTTCCTCTCTGGATCGCAACACTGAGTCTCTGAAAGAGGAAGCTGGTCGCCCTGTGGTCCTTGTTTCTATGATGGCCTTTTCACCCAGCTCTTTGAGGAACTTTAGAGCACACTTTGCCCCATGCTCCAAGGTCTCCGACCCTATTGGAATGAAGTTATAGCAAGGGGGAAGGTCTTCATATTTTCGGATCTTCTGTCTCCCTGTGGCAGGCAGTCACCCAATTCCACTACAGAGTAATGCAAGTAGGTGGTCTAGCCATGGGTCACACAAAGTGTCAGTCCCAGCATCTGCTGTCCTCCTCCAGGGTAGCAATAGTGGC